ATCTGACATAGGTCACCAACAGAGTCCAGCCACACTGCAAACAAGGTCACAAGCAAATCACTGGGACCTTGGGCACAACTACCCCCTTAGCCTTTCAGCATTTTCATGTGTGAACATGATGAGGAATGCACCATCCTGCAGCAGTGATGACATCCTGTTCCAAGAATGTCTCCATCCTGAGGCTGCAGAGAAGGGGTGGAGAGTGCTCAGATCTTGGTATAATGGAATCTTGGGGCATAGAGAAGAAGGGCAAGACCTGTTTCTAAGAAGCCAGCCCAAGGCACCAGTAGACCCATGAAGCTTCAGCTCCTATAGTACCCTGTTTTCTTTCTAGGCAGGTTTGTGCTACTATCAGCACCAACTCGGGTATCATCTTAACAAAAATCACAATAGGAGAGCAGAGAATAGATACTCGGAGGAGAAAAGGGATGGTACCCAAAGAATGGATGAAAACATGCCAAAAAACACACAGGGTATCATCCTTATAGGCCTCTCTCCAAAGCAAGAGGTGGCCAGTTTGTACGAAGACAGAGATGGTACCATCTGTTTTACAAAAAACAGGTGTAAACAGAAACACAGGAGGATCCTGTTAATGGGAAGAAATAAAAATGATCAGGAATACAAAATAATGAATACTACCTCCTCAGCAGCTCCCAAACTAAACAAACTGGAGAAATACTAGAAGCAAGGTTCAACACACATCTCAGATACAACCAAAGGCAGAGCTGCGTCAGTCCATTAGCATCTCCTAGGTGTGGTGATACGTGGTCAGAGCTCTAAGGGGTTAAGGCAAGAGGATAAGAGTTTGACGTCAGCCTGGGTTATATATAAAAAGAACTTGTCTCAAGCGGGGGTGGGGGGTGGAGGAGGGGGCTCTAACCCTCCTGTGTACAAGAAGTCCATCAGCCTACAATGACTACAGAATACCATATCAGAAAGAGCTTTTTCACAGGAGAGACCCCCAAAAAGCAAATATTTTGTGTTTTCTGAGCTGCTCAAGGTCAAGGAGTACCTTGTGCTGACAGGTAGTGGTCTTGCTCAGTTTCTCAGAGCACAGCATGCAGACCCTGAGCGTGTGTACACTAGGTGGGAGACTCTACAAGCCTGAGATACGGCTAAAGGCCACACCAACAAGGCTTGTTTCACCAGACGCCACACACAGTCAGAAATAACACTGCCTTCTCAGGTTCTTTTATGACAAGACAGAGACAAGATGTGAACAGAAGTCCCGGGAAGATGAGTAAAAACCTCACCTAAATTCCAGCAAAGAAATTCTTATCTTAAATTGTTCCAGGCTATGAAATATTTAGTCATTTATAAGACTGAAAATACTACTACCAATTACAGATAATCACTATTTAGTGAACATAAAGCTGCCCAGAAAACACTAAAGTGGCTTTTGCGTCCCCAAATGAACAAGAGCCAAGTTTTGTTCGTTGACTTAGGAAGACCTTATTTCCAGAAGTTGTTACCACCCACCTGCAAAGGAACGGCGTTTTATGTTCAGTTCATTGGCCACACGAACCTCGGTGCAGAGCTTCAGCATCAACAGCATGGTGAGGATCATGACAATGCTCTGCCACAGGAGCGGGGATTCAAAGTGCCTTCCAAACCTGCAGAAGGAGACAGACCCCATGTCAGCACTTCCACCACCTCTCCACCAGATCCTGAGCCACGTAAAGGAAAAGAGTCCCAGGGAGGGTCTTTGGTACCCATCACAGCCCTGGCACTTACTGCATAATCTCCTAGGATCTGTGTGGGACTTGGTTGAGATATAGAAGGACCATGGGACCCAGGTCAAACTCAGGAGATGTGAGTACCATGCCCACGTGAAGTTTTTCCAAATTCTATATTCCCCCTCCAGGGACTCTCTGGCCTAGTCAACAGACCCCCACCCAGGACCAGATGCTGGCATAAGAGAGTCCTGCATGGCCACCTTCCTACCAAAGTCTAACCCTGACTAGGCAAGTCAACATTTTTCAAACCACAGCAGCTCTGCTTCCTACCTGGGGAGGTGTTCATAAAGACAAGCAGTCTGGGGACAAATCTCCACATATATCCTTCATTAACAAGAGAAACCATTCTGGGCTGTCCCCATCAAAACTTTCCCTGACCTCATGTCCATGACAAGGGCCATTTTCCCTCCCTAGCCAGTCCTCCCAGCCACAGTCCCCACTAGCGTTCAGTATCTTACCAACCGGGTCGTAAGCTTCTGGAACAGCATAGGGCTGTGACATTCAGACAAGGATAGGCCCCAACCTAATCA